TGTTGACCACAGCTGTTATTGACTGGAGCTTTCATACGTGGAGTGACACTGACCTGACCCAGAAAACTGTTTCACACATGTGATGTCAAGCACATGCACACGCACACACACGCACACACACACAGTATAAACATTATAATCAGATGTAAGTTTTGAAGCTGACCTACCTTCTTCACCTGTGCCTCCTTGATCTTCTCCAAGGCCACTCGAATACTCTCTGCCTTGAACTTGGCAGCCTGCTCCTCCTACACACACACACACACACACACACACACACAGACACACACACACACACACACACAGACGCACACACACACACACACACACACACGTGTTAACCAGGAGGGAATCCAAACCTGCGGCGCTCGCAGGGCTGCTCCACCTGCATACCTGAGCCCTCCAGCAGGAAGTCATGGTGGATCCTGTCAGACGAGTTTCTGCTTCACATCAAGGTAAAAACAAAGTGGGACCTCAGTCAAAGTCAGGGTCCAGTCCAGTTCCTCGTGTCCTTACAGGTTAGTCCCAGAACCCGTGGTCCACAGAGCCCACAGAGTGAGAAGACATCCTGAGCATTTCTCTGCTTCTGTTCATTAAAAGAACCATATTTTCCATGCGAGCAGCACAAAGAGCCTGAACGAAGTCGTGTCCCACCGAGTGATGACGCACAGCTTCAGCAGGACCACTGAGGTCCAGCAGAGGAGGACCAGCACAGGATCAGACTGTGGCACAGCTCAAACGCACAAAAAGGCGAACCGTCTGACACCCACGACCTAAAGCCATCACGTTGGAACGCATCGATTCACAGAAAGACTGTCCCCCTCCCTGGTTCAGAGACGGAGGACCCAGAGGGAGGGAAGGAAGGTTATCTGGGCTGAGGGAGGGGCTTGTTGCCGTGCACTGATCTCTTTATCTTAATCTGTCGTGCCTATGACCACAGATGAGAGTTGGAACGTAGATGGACCAGTAAATTCAGAGCTTTGTCTTTCAGCTTAACCTTTTTTTCACCATGATTGACAGGAGCAACACTCTCATCACTGCAGACAAGACATTCCATCAATCCTCTTGCTGTCACTTGTGAACAAGATGCCCACATACATGAAATCTTCTGTTTGAAGGAAAAACTCGTCCCTGATCCAGAGAGAGCATTCAGTCTTTTCCCAGTTGAGAACCATGGCCTCGAACTTAGAGGAGCTCACTCTCATCCCAATCCAAGGTCTGAAGGTGTACTGAAGACACCAGAACATCATCTGCATACAGCAGAAATGAGACCCTGAGGTTCCCAAACCATAGCCATCCTCTACTAGACTGCACCTTCAGATCCTATCCACGAACACCACAAATAGGACCAAGGACAAGGGACAGCTCTGGTTGAGTTCATCCAGCATCAGGAACAAGCTTGACTGTGAGCCAACGATGAAGACTCTGGTTTGGTTCTTAAGAGTCCAGACAGCCCTTATAAATGATCCTGGCACCCCCTACAGGAGCACCCCCCACAGAACGTCTCGTGGGACATGGTCATAAGCCTTCTCCAGATCCTATTTACACGCTGGACTAGGTAACTAAACTCCTATGACCCCCCTCAGCAATTCTGCAAGGATGAAGATGTGGTCTACTGTTCCACAACCAGGATGGAAGCAACACTGCTCCTCTGGAATTGAACCATCATATCCCCGTTCACCAGCAGACAGCCAGAACAGAACAGCAGCAATTCTTGAAGCTGAAAACTTCTCATCCCCACATTCAACCTAAGCAGGACTTCCAGGAGACCGTCCTCAAGTACCGAAACAACAGACGACTATATAACTATAACAACTATATATAAAATATATTATCTGTCTGTCTGTTTGTCTGTCTATCGACGCTGTTCGGTTCAGTAGGCGGGGTGCCTTGCTTGTATAATGGTAGGGGAAACAACCTTACGACCTAGCTGTTTTGTTGTTCCTTCATTTAAATACAGATAGTTTTGGTGAAGCCACTGCTTAATGTTGGAAATACTGTCAATAAAAGAAGTTTGAAGGTTACTACTTCTAGGCTTCATGAGCAAATAAATCTGCAAGTCATCTGCATAACAGTGAAAAGAAAAGTGGTGTCTGTCTATAACTGATCCAAGTGGCAGCAGATCAAGAGAAAAAATGAGAGGACCAAGGATAGAGCCCTGTGGCACACCACAAGAAAGAGTAGAACTAAAGGACACAATGGCGAGTACTCTGATATTTTCCAGCATGAAATGATCTTGATTTAAAACTGACATTAGAGGTGGTGGGTGATAAGCATTAAGTACTGCTACACATGTACCAGTACTTATTACTTATTATAAGTATTTCTGGTTAAATACTTAAGTACTTTGTACTTAAGTACTTATTACAGTATTTCTGGTTAAATATTGGAACCAGCGTTTGTTAGCGTTTTAAATCTTAAATTTTATTTTTTTTAAATCTAACTCTCGTCACCAATGTGTTCAGAACCATATGGATCATTTCCTCTGGCTGTCCAGCTCTTTCCTGTTTGTTCCACTGTCACTTCCTGTTTTCATCTGAGAAATATTTAGAAACACGAAGATGAGTTCCTGTCCAGTGAAGATCAACAGGAGAAATGTGTCCCTCCTGTGCCACCGTAGGCTAAAATAAATAAATAAATCACACGGATGTGAATGACTGTAAACAGCAGGAGCTGGCCAGCAGTGTTTGTTTGTTTGTTTGTTTGTTTGCGTGTGTGTAATGCTGACACACACACACACAGCTGATCCCTGAAGTCTAAAATAAGAGCACATAATTGTGCCTTCAACCAAATCGCTGTTGCAGGAATTACACTGGCTCCGAAGCCCGTAATCTCCCTGCAATCTCAAACCCATCGCAGCCCCTCCCCCGCTCTAATCTGAAACAACAAATTGAAACAATCTTTTTTTTTTTAACCCTCAAAAAGCTCAGAGGGTTTTCTGTCTGAATGACAGACGTCCTAATCAGGTGCACATCCATCCATCCATCCATCCATCCATCCATCCATCCATCCATCCATCATCTTGACCCACTTCTTCCTTTTTGAGTCATGGGGTCACTGGTGCCCATGTCCAGCCATCACTGAGTGAGAGGCGGGGGACACCTGGACGATGATAGCTAAATTTAACAAAACAAATGCTCTAATTAGCAAAATGTGCTCAAATGAGCTAGATAGTAGCTCAAGGTACCAAAACAAATGTTAAAAAGATCCAAACGAATGCTAAAATGAGCTAAACAGACACAATAATTAGCTAGACAGTAGCTAAAAGTTCCTAAACAGAACCTAAACGAGCGAAACGTAGAAAACCAACTGGTAAATTCAGCTAAACTGCAGATGGTAAAACTATAGCTAACAGCTAAAAGCAACAAGAGAGCCAGGAGCTGAAGCTCCAAGACCACAGTTTTTGAAGGAACTGAAATAAATGTTTTGTGTTTATAAATGAATGTTCAAGTTAAATATAATAAAGTTAAATATGTTGGGCTAACTTTGTCCACCTGAGCTGAATGTTTCGCTCCCGTCTGCAGTGAGCCGACTCATGGGAAGGGTTGGTGATGTTCTTCCTGACACAACCTGGGCTCAAACCTGCAGCCTCAGGAATACCAGACCGCAGCACCGACCACTGAGCTACCCCACCCAAACATTTTAGGAATAAAGACGGTTTAAAACACGTCAGTTTGATGAAAGTACAAAGAGGAAAACAGTCGTGTGAATGATGAGACAGTTTTCAGAGGGAGGACGGTTCAGTCTGGTTGTTGAGAACTTCCTTCAGAAGACACGAGGCAGCTCAGCTGTCTGCCTGCTGCATTAGAGGTGCTGCCGCTCAGAAGCTCTGCTCGCCAAAGAGGATTGTCTCTGCACGTCCAATCAGACGGCCTCATCCGAGTCATCATCCAACACACACACACACATTAAGAAGCCTTCAGATTAAAAGCAGATGTTTCCAGATGCTGATAACACAGCCTGATATAAAGCCTGATGGAGTCGAGTCTTTAGATTAACATCAAATTACTGAACTCTAAAATCGTTTGTTTCTGTTTGGACGTGGAGACGAGGTCTTCAGCTGGAACCAGGACTGTAGCACAAAGTTCACCGTCTCTTCGTCAGTATCTCACACACACGATTTGTCCTCCAGCTTTTCTTTTTCATTAGGCTGATCCCTGTTCAGGGTCTCCACAGCGAGTCCTTGTCCTCCATCTCAATCTGTCCTCTGTGTCCTCACACCATCTACCTCCATGTCCTCTCTAACTGCATCCATATGTCTCCTCTTTGTCTTTTTCCTGCAGCTGCATTTCTAACATCTTACCAATATACCCACTGTCTCCTCTCTCTGTCATATTTCTTCTTGTCTAACGTCTTTCTTTGAACATCTTCCTGCACTTCTCTATTCCACCACCAGGTCTCCTGATCATCCATTCTCTGTCCAGGTGACACACCAAGTACCTTCCTACCTGTCTCTCTAATTACTGTTGCTGTGGTAGTCCAGTCATCTGGAAGCTCCTTCTTACCCCCCAGTTCTTCTTTTTGTGTGTTGGACGTTAAAAGTTAATAAAAAGAGTGAAGTATTTATTGCCCCATCATCTTATTGGAGATAAAAACATCACTGGTAATGTCTCTTTGATGGTGGGCAGAAGAACTAAAAATCATTTTAAATAATCTATTTGGTTCCAGGACTGGTGTCTGCCAGCAGCCCAGTCCTGTTCAGGAAACAACAACGTTGGCCCAACTGGTCCCAATACTAAGATTGACTGGCATCACTCGGTCCCTGAGCTCCATTACTACGACTGTCTGGGCTCCAAAGCCTCAGGACTGAACTGGATCCAGCAGAGCCACGTCCTCACACGTGTCCAAGACAAATAAATAAATCACGTAGAAATCAATTCAAAAGTTGTTTGTGTCTCTCAGTGGTCGGACGTGAAGCGTTTTTTAAAATCTTATTTTTCAAAATTATTTCTATATTTTTCTTGAACTCTACTCGTGGTATAAACTCTAAAAAAACACCGCGGAGCACCTGCTAATGGTGTCCTGCTCTGGGTGAAGACAAGAACATGCTGATGCTGCAGCCTGCATGCATGTGCAGCAGCTTTATAATAATGACAAGATGAGAGGTGGGACTCTGGTTCTGATTCTAGCGTGAGTCGAACTCGTCTCCACAGATTTTTACAGACTCTCAAATATAAAAGCAGAGCACCACCTAGTGAACCAATATAACAATAAAGTGCAGGGACGGGTAAAATGAAAAATAATTACTGAGAGAAATGCATTATTTTATGATAAATATGGGACTAAAAGTTGTATTTCAGTGTATTTTCATGGATGATTTTTTCCCCTCAGATACTAAAGTTACCGTCAGGTTAGGAGAGGATTTGAACAAATTCTGACAAAATTTAAAAAGTAGAAATAGTTTAAGGCTTTGTTAGAAAAAAAAGTTTATTGACTGCACTAAAATAAATGAATGAATAAAAAACAATCAAAAATAAACATGTGGCTGAGTTTTCCACCAGAAGTTCTTCCAAGGGTTAAGTCAAGAGGTTAATGATATATTTTGCTAACAGACACATAAACACACAGACATGCCTTTTCTCAACAGCAGGCGACCATCGTGCCATTAATGGCCCCGGGGTCATTAATGGAGCCGACTGACAGTTAGCTGAAACATGACTGGTCCCTTTCTTCTTCTGGGGAATCCTACAGAGGGTTCCTCACAGAAACACTGGTTCTCCTTGTTTGAGTTGAGGCAATAAAATCTGCATGTTTTACTTTACATCTAGTATTTTACTGGGAGTTCATGTGGCAAACCAACACAAAGTACACGTAGAAGGAAAATGGAGCAATATTTTCAAAATACAGTAGTCCCTCGTTTATCACCGGGGAGCCGTACCCCGAAGTCACGCGATAAGTGAAAAACTGCAAAGTATGAATAGTAGTACAAGTAGTATGTAGTTTATATATACTGTATATATATATAGATGGATGGATGGATGGATGGACGGACGGATGGACGGATAGATAGACAGACAGACAGACAGACAGACAGACAGATAGATAGATAGATAGACAGATAGACAGACAGACAGACAGACAGACAGACAGACAGACAGACAGACAGA